TGACATTCAGTTCCATTGATCTGATGGTTTTAAAAAGTGCCCTTCTCAATAGGGATGAGACAAGTAAATGATCTGGTGTCATTTTGTACAGATAGCCCGATAGTGAGTGACATGATAGGGAAAAAATGCCAAGAAATGCTGAGATATTACATAGCCAAAACTCAATTCTCATTCCTTGCCTCCTCCTGTCCTCGATTCCTCAGAAATTTGTTCCAACTTGAAAATCATTGTGTGAAAAAAAAGAGAATGTCCAATCTCATCCGATCGGCAGCAACTGGATGGGAGACCGCTGCTGGGAATAGTAGCTGCCACAGTGGGTCAGCAATGATTGCACTGCATACTGTTGTCGTGTCCAGTGTCCATGAACACCGGTGTGTACGAATGAGAGTGTGTTTGTGAGAGCCAATGTGAAACAACAGATTAGCCCATAGCTACAACCCAGCGTGTTTACATGTACAGTATATTATGTATGTTCACCATGTATGTTCCTGCACGCTCCACATCAAATAAACCAATAATAACAATGTTGACGGGCTGTCAGTGGGAGACAATACATGTATAAACCAATGGAGAAACCAATTTCACTCTATGGCTAAAACTGGATTCACTATAGTAAGAGAATAGGTCATAATGTGCACCTGAAACACAGCGATAAATGGTCCAGTACAGAAGAGGAACGGCAAATGTTGCAGTAATACAGTGCTATGGAAAAAGAGAGAGAATAATTATTTCCGCAGCTGTCTGTTGGACTGCTGATAAGAGAGATCAGACCTAACAAGATGCTCATCTCTATATTGTGTGTGTGGACCGCTGTGCCATGTGACTAAAAAGACACAAACCAATGGATGAACCAGACAAAAACAAAGAGGTATAACACATCGAGAGACTTAAAAGCAAAAAAAAAAAAAAAAAAAAAAATCACAAAAGGCACACATTAAAAAGAACAGGAATGAAGACTATATTATTCCAGTACATTCTTCAAATCAGTGCTTACTAATGAGCCAAATAGACACTCCGCTGTTAGCTTCCACATACGCTACAGTTAATGAGAATGAAACAGGAAATGTATTTGGCTCTCAGGGCTCCAGCGGTGATTGGGTTGTCGGAGGAACCAGCCAAGTGACATGTAAAGAAATGGTGCACTCTCAGACAAATGGAATATCCTGCTGCATGCTTTCACCTTGTCATTGTGATTAAACGCAAGACGTGAGGAGAAATATAAGGGCATCCCAAAGAGAGGTTTTTGGCAGAATACACTTGATAATGGGAGAATTTTAAATGGCACTGAAAACAAGTGAAAAGTATTATTAGTAAGTTGTATTGTTAGTGTCAGTCTGGGTCACTTCCCTTATATTTTCATATAACAGCCACAGCTAGCACCTGTCACTGCTACTTTCAGTTCCAGCCTTACTACTACAATTATACTACTGTACTATTACAACCGTATGACTGAGAGTTTAGCACTCTGACCTCACAGCAAGAAGTCACAGTGGGGCTTTTCTGTTTGTAGTGTACACGTTCTCTTGGTATCTGGATGGGCTTTCTTTTGGGATTTAGAGACTTAAACTTTATTCATCCACATGGAAAATTATTTGGACACACACATCACAATATAATAACAAAGAGCAAAAATAAAAATGGTAATAATACATCCAAAATAGGCCAGTCTTCTCCTGATCAGACCTTGGCTTAACATCTAGTGATGCACTGTGACCGACCACTACCTCTAACCTCAGAGGAATTGATGGATGAGTAAAAGGACTGGCATCGATTACTGCTAGTGCACTTATAACTAAAACTCAACTATAACTCAAGTAAGCCAAGTTTTTTTTTTTTTGAAAAATGTACCCCAAAGAAACTGTTTCTTTTGAATTTATAGTTACTGTGAACAAACAAGGCTTAAAAAGTCTATTAAGCTCTTTATTTCAGGTTTTGAAGCCAGTATCACTCTGATGCCACCTGGAACTTAAAGCGGAGGCAAATCAGTGGAAATTAGCACTTGTAATCTGCAAACACACAGCCCCACATCACAGTCTGGAGCTGTGCAGAGGAGTCGTGACTCACAAGCTGTGACTCGGAGCTGTGACTGTCGGGACTTAGCACTGGGGGCAGGCCATTTCAGTCCTGTTCTTATCTGAAGTCACACCTGCAACTGCAAGACTTGTACACAACAACTCATCTTTTAGCAGTAGCAGCCCTGACTAATACCTCACTCATAAGTCCAGAGGTCAGCAAGAACAAAAAATATATATATACAGTAAATAAAAAAAAATCGGAAGAAGTTGGGACAATGTGTAAAAAGTGTGTTGTAGGTCGCTTTTTCTTCTTTTGGTGTAAAATGAATGGCTCACGTAAAGCAACAATATAAATTTAAAGCATGTTTATGATCTCCTTCCAAAATTGTCATATTTTCAAGCCAATTTTTCATGGGATGTCAACAGAATGGTCAATGGTCACGCATTCATATAGTGCTTTTCCACCTTCAAGCGCTTTACATCAAGGAACCACTCACCCATTCACACACATATTCAAGGTGGGTGAAGTGTCTTACCCAAGGACACAACAACAGGATTCATCTATGGGAGCTGGGGTCACACCTCCAACCTGTGGGTCAGTGGCTCTGATCGTTCAACCATATGTTTATGTCGAGAGTGGGATTCGAAGCTCCAACCTTCAGAACACTCGTGAGCTACTGTCACCCACACACCCACACGTTCTTCAAAAATGTACTGCTGTTATGATGTTGCCTTTTCATTTTCAACACAAAGTCCCTTACCTAACGTTAAAATGCATAATTTAGCAAGTTCAAATTTCTCCATGCATGGCCAATAAGTCACAGCATGTCCCTGTCTTGTCTCTGAAGCAGAAAATGGAGGTCAGAACCATACAATCAAGGCCTTGGCAAATGGAAAATAGCGAGTGCCTTAAGGTTTGCTTTGGTCATGAATGTTTACAGTTCAGTACATCTTTAGTGGGTCCAGTAATTTAGAAAAGCAAAAGCTGTGCGTTCAACCTACACATATGTAAAAGTTATTAGCCCAGTTCAAATGTCAAAAAAGTTTGAAGTGTTGAAGTAATAATTTGCTTAACTCAGTCCTTGTGGTCCTATTGATATTTACAATCTAAAATTTAGTGAGCGGGATTCACAGTTGTTTTTTTATTTACCTTATATGTTATTTTATCAAAGCAATAAAAGAACAGGGACAAAAACATATAACCTTTCTGGCTGCTATAATGAAAACTGATTAAAGGCTCCATTTAACACTTGTTTTTTCTGTTACACATTTCCCACCAACAGTATTGTGTGTCTTTCGGATTTATGTTGATTCACTTCCAAATACAGTCCTTTATTTGCCCAGGCTCTGAGACCTTGGCGTGTAACCCAGTAGCTGTACTCATTTTTGCTGGCAGATTGCTACAAATGGTTCAAAACAAACAAAATAGTTTGAAGGGACTTGCTTTACGAAATTCAAAGACAAAACAGCCTATTCACCCAATATCCTCGTCCATTACATCATATACACCAACAGTATTATGGCAGCCATTCGTCCCCTGTCATGTTAATACTGTCCATTAGATTATTGCTACAGCCTCGGTCCAAACTGTGGTGGCTCCTTCAAAAAGGCTTGGCTTCACAGTGTAATTAACTTAACCTTTTGCTCACTCTATCTGAGCCCAGTCTCCACGATATTCTCCATCCTGCCTCTGTGTCTGTCTGCGTCCTTGTTTATGTCCACACCGTTCCTCTTTTAAAATTGAGCACTTTAAAGAAGATAGTCATTTATTACTGACCAGAACAAAGTCTTCATTTTTTAATGTAATATTGGATTTTTCCTTATGATTGGCAGTCATAATGAATAAGTGTGAATGAAGATGACACGGCCATTACTGTGACATATCTCTGGTGAGAGACGTTCCTGCCCACTTCCAATTTAAATGAGAATAAATGAATTTCTTGTCAGCATTCTGTTGATACCTCCAGCCATAAAATATTGAATTTCGCTCTCCTCATTGCCCTGCTAGCATTTCAACAATTGGCAACTCAGGCTTTGCCCATACAAGATGAGATGAGAATGTCAACATGATAATTTACATGGAAAGTTTCATTCAGCCATTTAGGCTGTGGGCAAATCACCTGACTCAGGTCGTTCTGAAGCTACAGAGCCAGCGGAACAAAGATGCACTCTGAACATCTTTTTCACCATCAAATCAGACTGAATAAAGCTCTTTGTACTTGTGGGGTGAAAGGCAGACCACTTAAATGCAATACTGAATCAGATACAGTCATCCACTTTATCAGTAAAACGGATTCAAATGTTTCTAAAGTGTAATAAAAAAAAAAAAAAAAAAAAAGTTATTGTATAGCGCATAAGTATTTTACTTAGGCAATGATTCATTTCATTATAGGCTACCATGCAGTCAATGAGGTTTCTCTTTGCGCTGTTGTGATTTTGATTTTGATTTTTTTTTTTTTTTTGTGTGTGAGAGTTTTGGAGACAGAGAGTCTGAAATGTATTTATTTCCTCATTTAATGGTTGGATTGTTTATTTGTTTGACCAGTGATCATATCTCCCCTTGTGAAATCCCTGTGTCCACTGTTGTAGTATTGCACTGATAGGGCTATCCACATAAAATGTAATTAAAAGTAACATTTTAGGCTTTTCTTTTTGATTATTTGCATCTACCCAATTTTTTTTTCTTTTTAAATTAAGATCAATTATGCTTTTTGATATTTCACAACGTCAGACTTTCACATTGAAGATGCATAAAAAATGTCTTGTAAATATTACTTAAATAAACGATAAAATCACACAACGCACGTTTGCGTAATAATACAGTGAAGTAAATGCGCACTGATGTCACCAAATAGCTCCAAGCCTAAACTCCGTCAGGTTGAACCAGTTAGTCAGTTTGTGAGGCACTACATCGACAGGTGCCTGTACGCTCCGTGTCCCGTGCCCGATGAGCGGAGATAAGGGACCAGAGGAGGAGGTAGCGACTGGAAAGACAGCAGCAGTGTAGCGCGCCTCCCTCTCCACTGCTCTGTGCGCGCGCTCTCCCTGTTCGCGCTGGAGTCTGCAGCTGTCCACACCGCGTCTCCCACTGCTGAGAGAAAGCCAAGCAGCGACCAAACATTTACACACGCAGCGCAACAGGGAAGCGACGGAACTTTGAGACTATTACCCACACTTTAACTTTACACTGTGAGAAAAGCGAGTGCTCTTGACGCCCCTGCATGGAGTGCGTTTTAGGAATGTGGAATACAACACTTCAGCGGTGAGTAACCATTGCTGTCACCACGTAACTACTTCTCACCCCTTGTGTGTAAACAGGCTACTGTAGGTATGTTTTAGGATCTAGAAAATAAAGTTTAAAAGTCGTGTCTGTGCATGTGTAGACTTGACTGCATGACATAACCGTGACACTCGTTTCCAATCCAGGCGCACTGTTGGTTAAAGCGAAACTAGTGTGAAGAGCGGAGTAATCATTAGTTTATTGTTATGTGTCACACAGTAAGAGGACGTGCCCGTGCCCCTGACGCCATGAGCGCGGACCTGAACTTGACCTCGCTCTTAAACGTGACGGAGCTGCAAAACCACAGCAGGGGAGGATGTTCGCTCACCAAAACGGGCTTCCAGTTCTACTACCTGCCCACCGTTTACATCATGGTCTTCATCACAGGGCTGGTTGGCAACAGCTTAGCCATATGGATGTTTGTGTGTCACATGAGACCTTGGAGCAGCATCTCAGTCTACATGTTCAACCTAGCTCTGGCAGACTTCTGTTATGTCCTCTCCTTACCTTTCCTCATATTCTACTACTTCAATAAAACTGACTGGATATTTGGGGATGTGCTGTGTAGACTGCAACGCTTTATATTCCATGTAAATCTATACGGAAGCATTCTTTTCCTCACCTGCATCAGCGTGCATAGGTACACTGGCGTGGTGCATCCTCTCAAGTCTTTAGGTCGATTAAAGAAGAAAAATGCTGTCATAACTAGTGCATTAGTTTGGGTAGTAGTGATTTTAGCCATATCCCCCATTCTATATTACTCCAGAACAGGCTTAAAACGCAATGCTACCACTTGTTATGACACCACCACTGAGGATGAGCTGTCTGGTTACTTTATCTACAGCATGACTTTGACTGTGTTTGGCTTCGTCATCCCCTTTATAATAATCTTCTGCTGCTATGGCATGATTGTAAAGGCCTTAATCTGCAATGATATGAACAACGCTCCGCTCCGACAGAAATCTATCCACCTCGTCATCATCGTTCTGGCTGTGTTTGCTGTGTCCTATCTGCCGTTCCATGTGATGAAGAATCTCAACATGAGGGCCAGGCTCTTCTTCCAAAGCCCTGATATGTGCGAGTTCAATAACCGCGTGTATGCCACTTACCAGGTGACACGTGGTCTGGCTAGTCTCAACAGCTGTGTGGATCCTATATTGTACTTCCTGGCTGGAGATACGTTCAGAAGGAAGTTGTCGCGTGCTACTAAAAAACCCTCCAGGAAAGGGGACCATGTACTTCAGTCCAGGAGTGACGATACTGCGCTGCACAGCTTAGCAGAATACGTGGAGAATGGAGAACGCAAACTTTAGAGACACTGATGGACAGATTTTCTTACAGCTACCATTCCTGAAACATCTTTCAAGGTGTTATTCCACGGCCATCTCCAAAAATACCCAGATATAATTTTTGTTTCAGTAGTTGTGCATTTATTCATATAATTCATTCACAGAAAATTTGATAAGGGTGCATGAATGTATGTGTTACAAGAATTATAAGAGGTCCCAACCCTGGTTAAATTATAAAGTGTTGTCTGGAACCAAATAATTTTCCATTATTGATTGATTGATATCACATAATAATCACAAATACAGTAAACCTGTAAACAATCTAGTACAATGCATCAGTCCATTCTAATGACTCTTTATCAATGAAACCCTAAAAATGTACAGATATTTTAAATTACAGTCTTAAATGTGACAGACACAGAAGGGGTGGCTTTTTGAAAGGATGGTCTTGGAAGACCACCTTAAGATGTTCCTTGAATGTCAAGAAAACAAAAAGGTCAGATAAATAATGACCATTTTTGGATTAACTGCTGTTGTGCACCCACATGTGAAGGCTTCGGGACTCAGTTGTGCTGATCTTATCGTAAGCTACTGTATAAAATGTACAAATGTACAAAAAGAATCACCCTCTTCCATCTGTTCCAACAAGTGTTAATAGACCTAAATGACGAGTCATAATGGAGGAATTCTGTTTTTGCCAGAGACTGATTTTTGAACGGAGAGCACCTTTTCTTGGACACAGCACTGACACTTGATCAATAGTTATTACACAGATCAGATGAGGCGCTGTGGCGGAGGCGGTGACACTGTGATGGCCTCTGGGACAAAGTGAATGCACTGAAGCTGCGTATGAAGTGCAGCCCCTGTAATGCACTAACATAAGGACTGAGTGGGCACCTTCTTGCTTGTATTTACTGACTTCTTTGGGATTAGAAAATGTACTGTTACCATCAGGGCTTGACATAAACAACTTTGCTCATTGCTTGCTGCAGGATTTTGTTTAGTCAGTTGCTGTTGATGCTTTAAGCTATATAGCAAATATATAAAGTACAGTTTTTGGTGGTAGATCAATAGTGCATATAATTACAAAATGCCACCACAAATTTGATCATAAACATTGTCATTTGTATATGTTTGTTTATATGAGAAAACTCTAAGTAAAGGCCTTTTTATATACTTGCAAATAGACTTCTGGAACAATCAAATTATATGATTTTGTGTGAATTTTGTGTCAAAAGATCCATAGTGGCTTAATTCTGTCATTAAGTTACTGTTAGCATAGCAGTCTTAAGCTTGTCCTCAAAATGAAACTTAGGTGGCTAGTGCTAGTGAAAGCTTAAATGTTGATGCCAAGCCCTGCTTCTGTATTCTATTTATCTTAACTTTTCCTTGCAAATTTAAGAAGATTACATTACTTGCAGTATTGTGCGTTTGATCGTGTGATGGATGTTTTGAAGATGTTGTACAGAAAACCTTGTTCTGAAGTCGCTAACCAGTACCTTTAATTGCATGATCAGATGTTGTCACGTAAATCACTAACTACAGTGTGAAATGTGTAATTTAGAGAGACAATCACCTACATCCACATACTGATGAAGACACACTGTATTTTTAAGAGATACCTCAAATAACTACTGCACTGTTAGTATTATGTGGACAGAAGTCAAAATAATGTCATTTTTGATAGATATTGTGCAGCTCTTTGTATATTGTTGTCAATAATGTGTAGGTGCTCGATGTGTGTTTGATCTGATCAGGCAAAACATTAGGATTATGACAGATTATTTTCATTAATGCACCTTTTATCATGAGGGAGGAAATTGGAAGTAAAAGAATATTTCATTTCTGTCTTTAGTTGATTTATGAACAGGGAAATTATCTTTTTAGGCCGACTAGAGCCCTTGTGTGATGACTCTAGATAACTGCGTCATCCTCAAAACTGCAGCTCTTTCGTTGTGTTCAGTCATTCTATCAATAATTCTCAGGAGGAACAGAAAGTATAGCTGGCTCTGATTGAAAAGTGTCAGTAAATACACAAAGCATCACAGTTTGCATTTAAAAACAGTAAATCAATTTGAACACAAGCAGCAGACTTATCACGATAATTACTATATCGACGAAACGTTCAGTATATCAAAGCTGGAACACTATTTTTTGGGGCTCAGAATTTATAGTGGATTTTTTGGTTATTTTCTTTGCAGTACCATACAATTGGAGCGCTTGAACTTTTTATAAATACAAACTAATTTGTGTTTCATTCTTTATTGCAGCTAATGTTTGTTTTTAAACAATATTGTACATTTAGAATATTTTTGGAGGGATAAATCTGCTTTAGCTTGATGTCAGTTTCAGTATTATTGATTATCGTCAGCACTATTATCATCGTACTTTAAAATGCATTATTGTGACAGGCCTAAGTACCAGTATTAAAGGCAGATGCATTTAATGTTATGCCTGATCAGTATGTAACTATGTACAGAAATGTTAAAATGGATGAAAATGAATTGTGTGTACATAGTAGTATCTTTGACCACTAGTATTCTTTGTCAATAAATTTTTATATGTAAACAGCAAAACGCTTAACCTCGGCTGCCCTGCCTTCTCCTCACATTGATTCCATTTCGTAGTAGCCGGGAGGAAGTTGAAGCGTACAAAGAAGCTGAAAAAGAGTGCCACCTCTCCTTTGGCTTCTCATATGAAACTCTTTGTGTCTGTTACAATGACAGAGCCTTATTGAAGCAGACAGCAGTGCCAGTAACCCAGGGCTGTGCATTAGAGTGGGCACAGGAAATACAACCAAACCTCTTCATCCTCACTGGACCTGCTGAATACTAACGCCTTTGATTTCTTGGCTCTGAGCTGCAAACTGCAAAAGTGATCCGGGCCAATAGCTCAGAGCCAAGGCCTTCGCTGAGTGGGTGGAAGTTGTAGCTGGGTGCACTATTTGTTTTGTGTCACTATCTGTGCTGTTTTCATTTAGGATAGAGGATTGAATGTAGTTCACAAGAATTAGCCACCTAGCATAAGTGGATTTGACTTAGTGTCAGATCTCAACTTGCACAAAATCTGTATGCGTGCCAGAGTCTCCTCCCTCCCTTAGCCCCTCCCTCTCTCTCCCCAGTTCACTCTTTTGTTTCCCAGGAACCTTTCACCTCTTTCTTTCTTAGGTCTGATGTCTGTGATGCAGGAATTAGCCAGATACTCTGAGCACATTTAGAAGATTTAGTTATCAACTTATTTGGAACATTTCTTTAAATGTTAGCAAAGTGGATAGTAGTAGTATAGTAAAAGCTGCTGTCAACCATTTTAGTATTTGCACTAGTTGTATTGACAGTAGTTGTTTTTGTAGTACTCTGTGATGCAATAGTGATTTCAGCGCAAATAGCAGTAATCATTTTGTACACACACATTTAGGTATATTAAGGCATCTGTAAAAAAAAAAAAAAGTTCAAAGTTCAGCTATAAATTATTAACTACATTAAGTATATTTGTGTGGTATTTATGATACCACTGGTAGTACATACATAGGAGAATTTCTTCTGTCTCTTTGAGCCTAGGCTCTCTCATATTGAGGACTCTCATGAGGACTGCTTCAAAGGCATACATGGGCAGTTGAAGTGAACAAACATATGTGTGTTAGATGGAGTTGTTTTTTGGTTTCTCTGAATTCTTCCCATCACAGTTTTTTAACTGTGTTGCTTTGTGCCTGTGAATTTACAGTGGGAGCCCACCACCACATCTATCACAACAGGGCTCCCCTACTCACCGCACTAAAGACCCAGTATCCAAGAGAGGGCTCTGGCATGAACTCGTGACAGGAAGAATAAAATCACAAGATGAGGCAATGTGGTTGTATCTGGTCCATATATGCACAAATCCAAACATCGAAATGTGTGTTTTTCTTAATGACCTTTACTCTAGTGCGTCTTGCTGGCTAAACAGCTGTCAAGTGTATTTGTGCATGCAAGTATCTGTACTACATCAAGTCACAATATCCAGCTGTTTGAAGCAAACATCTTGTGAAAACATTTTGTTCAGTAATAGTATTGGGCTCTCTCCTCAGGGGTAGGCCTGAAGCAATACAGTAAAGATACACTATGATAAGATAGAAAAGATAATACTAGTGATACAGAGCTGTATCTTGTGGTACAATCTCACTGCTTATATAGAAATGTATTTCTTTCAGTGAGTTTTGTTTTTTATTAAGAATGCATGCATTGCATTATTTCAGTCACTGTAAATCTTGTGAATAATAAAATGTAAATACTTTTTATGACGGGGTGGATGGCAGCTTTCACTCTATGTTTACATTTTATCTTATATATATTCTGAATATATTATTTAGAATGTCTATATAAGCTTTATCTTTGAGAGACTGAACTCAAGCCACATTATTTAGCACCTGAGTATTCATGTTATGTCTGAAATTCTAACCATTTTTTGTATTAGTTTTTCAACAATTCACAGCCTCACAGTAAAGTAATAGAAGATTTGCATCTGGAAGATACCGATAAGGCTTACATTTTACACACAGTTAAGCCCTTAACAAGATTCAGGCTGTTGATGCATGCCCATTTCAAACAAGTTCATCCACGTCCAACACTTCAGAGTGGAGCAACTGACGACACAACAAGGCAGAAATAATCAGCACATCATCTTTAGCTTTATATAACCATATCCTCACCAGTTAGATAAGTACTGTATGTGAAATTGTGCTTGGTATGTAAATTTGTATTACATCTTTTAATAGACTTAGAAACTGTGAATCCATTATGAGAGAATGAGCAAACCTGTCAGTCAACTCTGGCTTGAATTTACATGTTCGTCAACTGAATTTCATTTGAACTTGACAGCTATCTAGCTGCAATGTGAAGAAGATTTCCAAAAAACTGGCTGTTTTCATTCCACTTAGCATATCTAAACAAAGAGCGCAGAAGTATGCTGGTGTTTTGACACATAGTAATTGCAAACAGATCCATGGTGGCTTTTGACAGTTGAGGCTATTTGAATCATAGCTCGAAAGGTCTGAAGGGAAATATATTTACTCTCGGCCGACTGCCTGTGGCGCTGCCCTCTGAGAATGAGCTGGCTTTCATGGGGCTGCCAGGCGCGCCGCTACACTGTTATTACCAAACACTGGGCTCGCTTGATAACAAATGAGGAGGAAATGGGAGATGCTATCGCTACTGTATAGATACTCCTGAAATTGAACATCTGTGCCAATTCCCTATTGACTTTTCCCTCCAGGGCTAGCTGCAAAAAATCACCTGTCTCTTAATGTCATAGTGCTTTTGAATTTTTAAAATCAATAATCTACTATGCTATTGTAAATGAGGAAGAATAAGGCATCTCACCATTCTTTTCTATAGAGTCCTCCATTTTGAGAACCTGTGCACTAAGATCTTAGCCTGATTCATTAGCCAGTTTCACTTCATGGAAGCCATCTGACCTCGCAGCATTAGGATTCATTTGCTCGACGGTAGTACTCGACTGAGTACTTTTTGTTATTTAACCAATCACTGCTATTTGGTCATGACGTATGTAATGCCCCGCTAACGGGGCTAACTGGTATATTAAGCTTTTCCCAAATCTCGTAGGAAGAAGGGCAATAACGTCTTTCCTCTTGATAAAATTCACCAAACATTCTCTTTGTTCCAGATTTAAATCCTCGATCTTGGGAATCGTTGCTAACGTAGAATACATGGCTCTTTGCTGATTGGCTGGTGCCTGGACTTGCACTTCTGGAGTTCTTGCAAACCGTCAAGTGTATATTCCTGAACTAGTCGCTGGAGAGAAATTAAATTGAGCGGAGGCATTAGGTGTCACCAGCCTGGCTACTAAGCTCTAGGCCTATACCAAATATTGAAAAATTGTTATGTCATCATGTAACATTACAATATTGCATGAGACATGAGACAAGGGAGAATAACATTTTTTCATGTATTACACACAATTACAGCACAATCTCTAATGTTAGTTAACTGAGTGCATTAGCTATAGCCACTGTCAAGGTGAAAGGGTGCATTCACACTAGCAGACACACACCACTGCCAAATTTGGGACAAAACTGAGTCTGTAAGTAAAGCTGGACTCATGCAGGACTAGACCATGGCAACCACTAGGCTTCTACCATTAGTGTATTTTTTATGCTTTATTATTGCAGCTGCACACTTTTCAAACTATAGGCTAAA